CTAGTAGGTACCTACCTCGTCTCCAAAAGCGCCATGAAAAATAAAAAAAAATATAGGAAAACGTGAATTTTTACGTAAAATCGGTTTCGGTTTTTCGTGTGAGTGGTGTAACTCTGAAATAAATTACTTTAAATACATGCAATTTTCACTGATTTAGATTTTGGTTCCTATAACCCCTATTTTATATTGATTTAATAATATACATTTTAAATTGTCTTAATATTTCGGGGGGAGGGGGGGTGAGAGGAGCTACCCCACTGCACTGATTAATAGATTAGAACACCGAATATACGACTTCATTTTTTAGAGCTTAAAATAGTCCTGACAATCCTGTACCCGTATGATATATAACTATACAAGTAACAACTATTATACAACAGATAATATTATGCCCATAGAACTGTTCAAAATGTTTAAGTTAAATTTTTTTAAATTTTTAAATTTTAATTATACAGATATATTATAACCTATTATACACAAAAACTAGGAATTTGTATAGGTACTTCACATAGTTTGTTTTAAGAAATTACGGATCGACATTTTTACAGTCGGAAAATACTTGATCTCACCCCCCTCAACATTGTCAAAATCGTATAACGCCGGTGTCGCAGGTTTCTAATACCCTCAAATAGTTTTACCGGGGGGGGGGGAAATTAACCTAGTATATAATTAACGATCTGTTTAAAATATACTAGAATATATTTATCTCTTACGTGAATTTTTATAGTATATTATTTTTACCCCCCGGTTATAATGTGTTTTTAAGAGGGGTATAAAATATGTTTATTATTGTAATTTAAATTGCTATACAATTATTTGTTTATTTATAATAATATTATTGTAAATTTTTCGAACAGTTTTTTACAGAAGACAGTAGAGTTCACAGTTTTGTTGGTGATATTGATCAATATTTAGAAATAAATCCAATCGATATTAGTGGCACATGGGCAACAGAAGCAGAGATATTTGCTACTTCTCTGTTGTTCAGAACAAGAATTTTTATACATTCAGACTACCATTGTTCATGGCAACTCTTTGGAAAAGATGGTACATATAAATATGGGATAAGCCCTAATGAAAATTGCTTGTACATGTCACACGTTAACAAGAATCATTACCAAGTAATTACTGACGTGGAGTGAAGAAAATGTATCGATAAAACATAAGTGATATTATATTAAGAGGATTCGATACCTCGATTTTCTGTTTTTGTCTAACACACGCGTGACATAGTATTTTAGACGTGTTTTTTTGCCAAACATTCCGATTGATCTATTGAAGCGATAAGATTTCTGAAAACAGATTTGAATTTGTCGTCATGTCTACTTAAAATCGACTTTCCCACATTTTTGATTTTTTGATTTTAACTTCTCCAAAAATTTAAAAAACAGAATTTTTAAATACTCTTTTTGAATATGACATTTTAAAAAATTCGGGGGATAGTATCAAAAATGTGGGAAAGTCGATTTCAAGTAGACTTTATGACAAATTCAAATCTGTTCTCAGAATTCTTATCGCTTCATTGGATCAATTGGTATGTTTGGCAAAAAACACGCCTAAAATACTATGTCGCGAGGGTGTTAGACAAAAACAGAAAATCACGGTATCGAATCCCCTTAAATTCATTTTTAATTATAATTAAATAAAATATTTATTTATAGTTTAAACATTAAGATATTTAAGCTCAAAATTATTATACTCATTTGTTTATTAAGAATTAAACAGTATTTTCAACATATTCGTGACTGTCGCTAAATATTATGATAAGAATAAAAATACAACTATACAATTCAAAATAAAATGTACGGTATTATACTTAATTAACAATCAAGTTGGATAAAAAACTTTGATTCTAAACATAAGTTAATTGAATTTCTGGATATTGCATAAACTTTTCATGATTTAGTATTTACAGTAAAAATATTATTCAATGTCTAACTTACAAATGTTCCAATGAACAATTACAAAAATTACTTTAAAACCTTTTCATTATGAGAAGATGATAAAATGCAAAATATGTTAACAATTTATTTCTATAAATCAATCTACAATTTGGTCAAAACTACAACTTTAATCGTTGACAAAAAATAAATATAAATGTGAACATATGTTTTGTATATTTTTAAATTACTTTAACGTGTACGTGTTGTACTCGTGTGGAATCTTGTATTAAATTGTCATACTTTTTGACTGAGCATAAACAAATAGATACTTAAATATATACGGCTATGCAAAAAAAACCTAAAAAAAAAAAATATTATTTAAAATATTTCTAAAAAGCTTACAATGAGACAAATATTTTGCAAATTGTATAATAAATAGCAAATGTCTATTTGATGTAAATTACAAGTTAGTATCGCAAACTATTTTAGAACTAATCGTTAATTATATGCTAGGATATTTTTACCCCCTGCCGAATAATTTAGGGGTTTTATATTGTGCTCAAATTATTTTGTTGTATTAATTATTTATTGTATTTTAATAAACCAACATCGTAATACCCGTTTCATTATTTAAGCTTATGTAACCCTTCTCTCAGGGCCGGTGTAACAGGCGATTTTTACCCATTACGATGTTGGTTTATTAAAATACAATAAATAATTAGAACACATTAGGTATAAAAGCGTAATGGTAATGCGCGGCGTGTAAGGAGTATAATATACTTTTTTCGTTATTGAATACTTTTTATTTTGAAGTGTTTGAATGGTATTTTATAAATACTTTTTTTTTTTATTATTTTATATAATTTGTTTCTATTTGTAATCCTTGTTAAACCAAAAAAAACCTGCCGTCGCCGTCGTGCTTATCCTACAACATGATAACAATATTATATTATATATTTATCATTTATGGACAATTCGATATCGATTTACGTCGACTAATAGCTTAATTAAATGTTTTTTCTCGTAACGAGCAATATAGAAATGCACTTAAAAGTTTAAAATTAATTATTCTTAATATCTAAATTTTATATCAAAATTATAATTTATATAAAAATTAGAAAATTCAAAATTTCTGATTTCAAATTAAAATGTTTTTAAATGTTAAAAGTGAATTTGTAAAGATTAAATAGTAAAGATAAGTGCAATTGCTTTCAAATTGTTTTTTTTTCGTGGTATAAATAATTTAATAATGTATAATACTATAATTTATTTTCGTTTTCGTTTTTCATTTGTTTTTTGTTTTGTTCTATTAATTGTTTTCGCTTTTTGTTTTTTTTCCGTTAATAACGTTTTCAAAATGTTTTCCTGCTTATATGTGTAAAAGTTTCTCACTTCACACAACGATTTACCAACCTAAAATTTTAATGTACGTCCAGATGTGTGGTTTTGTGTTTAAGACGATATAATAGTATCAGAATTTCAATATAACGTTTAGTTTTTTTAAACATTAAAAATCTTAAAATAGATATTCTTTAATTTTAATTTTATATTTAAATCCCCATAACGGGCTGTTTGACAAAAATATCACTTTTAAGATTTTTAATATTTAAAAAACTAAACGTTATATTAAAATTCTGATACCTATAGGTACTTTTATAATCTTAAACACATGAAATCACTCATTTATCCGTAAATTAAATTGTTTATTTTTTTTTATTCATTATGTGAACACTAATTAACATTTAAAAAAAATTGAAGAACATTTATGTTTGCGTTGTGTGTTCCTTTAAATCATAATTTACATTGAACTTTTATTTTAAATTACATTAATTGTATTTCGTATAGGTATGTTTCTGTTTGATAATAGACGCAAACAGTAAGCATATAGTAACTATTGGGTGCATTGTTATTTAAAAGTATTAGGAATAATACTGAAATGAGCCTCACTTGTGCAATGAACAATGAACAAATTATGGTTGTTAAATATTAATAATCTGTAACATTGATTTTTATTTTATTAAATGAGAAGTAAAATAATATTTATTGATTGTTGGTAAATGCTATTGATACTGCCAAACTGGTGTATTAGGTATATGTCTATAATGTTGTTGAATTTGGTTTTTGAGAGGGAGTGTGGGGGACTTAGCCCCCCACGGGCTAGGTTGAGATTAATCATTGCCATAAAATTGTGCAGTCGAACACGGTTAACTCGAAGTTGAAAGGACCGGAGTAAAAGTTCGAGTTATCTAAGAATTCGAGTTATCCAAAAAAAAATTTTAAAACAGTACCTACTGTATATTAATTCCTGTGTTTATTATAAATAAAATATGTAATGTGCAATACAAATTAGTTACTATGTATTTAAATGTATGTATGTATATGTAATTTTAAAAGGTAGGTAATGTATGTACGTACATGTAAACAATAATAAGGTTAAAAAATTTCGAACGATCGCGTTGAAACAAACACAGAGCACTGAACACGAAAGTCATGCGTCGTCGTGAACCAGTCGTCGTCGTCGTCATCGTAAACCGTAGATAAACAACTTATCGGTAACGGTAACATTAATGAGCTTTATAGATAAATGAGGGAAATTGTATATACAAAAACTTCGAGTTGTCCACGAGAATATTCGAGTTAAACAAGATTTTTTTACATTGTTTAAATAGGAAATTCTAGGGACCGGAGTAAAAGTTCGAGGTATCGACGATTTCGAGTTAAAGAAGTTCGAGACAACCAAGTTCGACTGTACAATAATATTAAGTCGTTAAGCGCCTTGGCCCAGTCTATAATCGTAATAATATTAAGAGTAGTCAGTAGGTACGAGGTACCTACCTACCGGACTATACTGGTACTACGCTATACGCGTCTGTAATATCTAATATATTAAATACACAATGCCCTGTTGTGGTGCGGTTGTGGAGAGGTATTTTAAATATTGAAATAAAATATAAAACTATAAACACTGTAGTATTATTTCAGTTCCACTATTGTCTTCAGAATTATTGATTCAATTTCTCTTGATGTATCGTAATATATACACCTCATTCAACAACACGAGAAACGCCAGCTCAGCTAATGTTAGGTCGATCAACACGTTTACAATTTGACGCGTCAATGCCGAATACAAGCGAAGTAGTTATTGAGCGCAAATATCACAAATAAACAATGGCTGTAGTAGGGCAGTATCTTTTAATATAGGCGATAATGTATTAGCTAGAGATTATAGGAATATTAACAATAAATGGCAATAAAGGGTAAACTTATCTAATGCATTAGTTACAACACGCATGACGTAGAACTTGTTGACGGGACTATTTGGAAAAGACATAATGATCAACTACTCATTGATAAATCGTCAACACCTTCAAATAATTCTATTTCACCTTCGCCAGCTAGACAAATAAATGAAAATTCTAAAAATACTGAAACAGTAGGTGAAAATCAAAATCCCGATCCGGCCGATCCCGTAATAGTAAATAAAATATCCAGACCAATTAGATCTAGAAAACCGCCTCAGCGATATTCTCCAAGTGATTATGCTTAGTGCAATAATTGCGATAATTAATTATTAATTATGTCAGTTATCATGTATAATAAATACTCGTATGTAAAAAAAAAAAATACTAACATAGTAATTAAGCACTATACAAAATACTTTATATTTTTTTAAATTAAAGAGATGTTGCATATTTAGCATTTATATTGTATACTAAACGTTTATATTAATAATAATCATAAGTATCATATTACGATCGGTGAGGAATGTCCATCGGTCATTAGCAAGTAGATTTTATACTTTTGACAATAAAAGACTATAATATACGTTTGTGTCATTTTCATATTAAAAATACACATGTTATTATATACCTACGCTTGACTGTATTCCATTAAACAATCATAAATTATTGTCAACATGAACATTATATTATTTTATATTACGAAATACTTATACTTACATACCTATGTTTTTTTTTTGATAATTGTGGATCGATGATATGGAATTTGGTTATAACAAAAAAATACGTGTTTCTTTATTTTTAACAGGCAATTTGTTTATAACATTTTTAAACACACAATTATACAAATAATAAAATCGACTTTATTTTTTCAAACGGTAACCACTTTATTTTTTGATGGATTCTATGGTAAAGCTTTTTTATCAATAGTTTTATTTATGGAAGCTACAATGGTGGATTTGGTGTTAATTACTATTGTTTTATAATTTTCACTAATCAATACTAAATTATTATGTATTTAATGATATTACAGTTTGAGAGGGATGTAGTCATTTGGAACCACAAGAGTTACACTGAAAATACTTTAGTTTCAACACTATCCTGGCACATAGAAAATGGTAAGTACAAACAATTTTATAGTGCTAATATACCTATACAATTAAGTAACAGAAAAGAAACAATGGATTGGTGAATTAATATATTAAATTTAATTTTACATAACTGAAAAGTATTACTACATATGTGATATGTCATTTATATTTTATACTAAAAGTATTTATATCACATTTTGATACCAACATTCAATATAACTAGGTATATTAAATGAGTCTTATTGAGTCATAACAAATTTTTAAGTAAAATGTAAATTTTACCTACAAGCTTTAGCCTTTAGGCTTTAAGTATTATTAATTAATTGGTCTTATTATTGTTGCATTAAAATTTATATTCAACTAACAAATTTACCTGAAATATTTAAATCATTTTAAGAAGGGATTGTACATATTTGTTATTTTATTTTTATATGTATATTTATAATATATTTAATTTATTTTAGTTTTCAATGACTGCTCAATGAATGATTTCATTTTCCCAAGATATATATAACGTGGTCCTAAATTCTAATCGAATACAAAAGTCAAAAATAATATATTTTTAAAATGTATATTTTATAATAGATAAAAATAATAGTAAAGAACTAGAACATTACAATAATTTTCTGCTCTTTTTCATTAGTTCAAATTTACTCAGTACATCATCAAAATCAATGGTTTGAGCTGTGTTGCTTTCTAACCTCAATATGGCCAAATTTTATAGCCGGTATTCAGTCATAGCACCATATAGTTGAGCTAAGGTATGTGAAAAAATTTTTTACCAGACTCATTTTCTTGAAAAACGTTATCACTATTATCAATCTGGTCGACGAGGCCCTATTTCAACAAGAGTTCTGATCACAGATATATAAAAATACATTTAATTTAATTTTCCTATATCTGTGGTTCTGATTAGGTAGGTACTTGAGGTGTTAATATAGTAGACGGCAAATAGTATAGGTGGTAAGAAAAACTATAAATAGAAAAACTGTCAATAAACAACAGTATCAAGTACTGCGTATGTTTTGTTAAGACCCACATCACAGCTGCACGCACTGTAGGTACTTACGCAGAGTATTGTACATATTTTTATACTCGTGTTTTTCGAATTAGGTACCTACATTTATAATTTGAAAAGTTTAATCACTATTTCGTACGCGCTATAAACATCAATAGGTACCTACTATATGCAGTCTTCACGTCTGTATAATGTATATACATCATATTCATATACTTATACATTTATAATATTATATCTGTATAGAAACATTCTTGAGCCTGTGTAAATTTTATAATTTATAGATTATTATAATTTAATATTATTTTATTATTGATCATTGTTCATATTTTTTTTAAATAAAAAAATGATTATATAGTTTGCCATTTCGAGGGGCCACATTTAACTGGGAAAAAAACTGTGGGTCAGCTGACCTCCCCCCCTGGGTCCACCCCTGATGTTAATGCTCTCTTGTCATCTAATTTTTCTAATAATTGTGTCAGAACTTCCAAATACTTACGATGGTATTTATTTAAATAATCAGTCAAATCAATTTTAAAACAATTTGCTCCACTGGTCGTACCACACACAATTTTAATCCCTGCGGTATAGTATAGAGTCTATACTATAGACTATAGACAATTGCATTATACTAAACCGATTTGATTAATATTGCATCAACTACAAAATTACAATACCAATTATATTATAATTTATTTTCCTGCCAATTGCTTTTGAACTTGAATTCTTTAGCATATTTTAACTAATTTAATTCGGGTTGAATCACAGTATGAAAATAAAAACTAAAAGTTTTGTAGACATTTCAATTTCAATAGGTAAGTAGGTACAGCTAGGGACGATCTCAACAAAAAAATCATATAAATACTGTACGGGCCGGTAGTATATAATAATAATATGCGCACCCCGGGCACCTAATTGTTCACCACTAACATCTAGGACAGTTCTTAAATGTGAGGACTAGCTGGGTGTGTAGTGGTGTAATAGCTCGAACAGCAGTGGTCGGGATTGCTGGGCAAATACTGTTGAGCTACGTAATGCGTGTAGTGTATCTATGTGTATTATTTGTGTGTTATGTATGTATATATGTGGGTGTGTGTACAATAAGACAATAATAATAAAATGGTAACACGGTTTTTGGTAATAAGTTGCTGTTGCTGTATAATACACAAGAATAATGACACAAATATATAAGAAATCACAGCAACACAATAGGTATAAAACAAGAATATCAATAATATTATGGCCCTTCTGGCCCAACAAATATAGTAAATAATAACGTGCCAGCTATTTGACCTATGGCTGGTATATAAATATAATAATAAATAATAAAACTCACAATTTATCGGTGCTCTGCTGGCCAGCCGCTACCTAAGCTATATAATAATAACAAATAATTTGGTAATTGACACATACAAAACACACAACAGTGGCGATTCGCGCCCACAAAATAAAACAATATATAATATTTCTGGCGATTCGGGCCCACAAAGGAAAAACAATATTTAATAAACCGAAAACGGCGATTTGCGCACGTGAAGGCAATATAATTTTTATTCTGCGTTGACACCGGTGCGCGAAAGTGGACTGCGGCGGCTGTGTTCAATAATATTTGCATAGACGGCACGGCAGCGTGCGATAACGTTTAATCTACATATTATATAACTCACAAGACACATTCAATACAAAAATAAAATAATACAAAAAGTGATATGTGTGTGTGTGAGACCAGCTGTTCCTCCTTATGCAGTGATAATTAAGACATAAAAATAATATTATTATGTTGCGGCGGCAACAAATACATTTTTATTAAAATTGGACCATATAATTGAAGGGGCCTCCACGACAGCGTCCCCGGTGGATTTCTCCCGCATAGGTGGCGCCGGTCGTGCCGTGGTTGCCGGTCGTGCCGTGGTTGCTGGTCGTGCCGTGGTTGCCGGTCGTGCCGTGGTTGCTGGTCGTGCCGTGGTTGCTGGTCGTGCCGTGGCCGCCGGTCGTGCCACCCGTCTGGGGCTACGGGACCTGTTGTGCCTCACTGTGGTTGTGGGTTCGCCGCTTGTCGCTCTTCAGTTCGGTCTTCCTTCCCACTCCCTCGTGTAGGCGGCCCACAGTACTGGATCCCGATGTAGCTGCGCCGTGGTCATCTGCCGTACCCGTGCAGCCGTGGTAGTGTTGGCGCCCTCCTCCAAGCTGGCCGCCCTCAGCAGCTGTTGACTGCGTTCCAGCACTTCCGCCGCCTGTTGGAGGGTGCTGGGTGTCGTCGTCGGCGGTTGTTGTCGGTTCATTTGGTGGTGTGGGGCTGTCCCGACTGAAATTATGTACACTAAACGCTATTGTGGGTTTATGGTGGGGGGCGGGTGGGTGGTGTTTGGGGCGCTGCTGTGCCGCTGGCCGTTGAGGCAGGACGCGTGAATTTTTGCGCGCTGGCTGTTGGTCCGTGATAAACACGCCTTTGCCTACGCGTTTGTGCAGCTTCACCTGTCCCCACCACTTCGGTGCGAAGCCGGCGCGTGAAATTTTTTGTGCTCGTTTCACAGGTGGTGTCACCGACGGAGTCGCTTTAATATTATTAAATATTATAAGCAGTGTTGAATCCGGGTATACTTCAGGGGGGGAAATTCCCCCCCCCCCCCCTGAAATTTTTTCCGCCCCCCCCTGACAAATAAAACGTTCTGACTATCAACAAAATGTACCTATTTATTAAATGCACAATACTCGTTACGATTACCGCACCTAATGGCGTTCAATAAAATATAATTTATTTATATCAATGTTTTTATACCGTATTGCCAATATATAGGACTATCTCCTGACTTTCCTAAAATTATAGCAGTTTTAAGATAACGAAAAATAATTATCACGAATTACAATTTATAAACATTTACAAATTAATAATTTGTTATATAACTTTTGAATATTTATAATTTCTGATTTGCAATAAATAATAATAATAGATAACACGATTTATAATGTGTGACAACCTTAGATTGATTTAAAAATTAAAATAAAATAATTTGTTTTTAATTTGTTTGTAGTTTTATCTAAACTTGAAATGTCTAAATTATAAATTGTAATAAGAATAACTACCTATTAATAGATATAATTCATAATACTAAAATGACGTATCACCCTTCACCATTGAAAAAAAAGTGAGCCTCCCCAGAAAAATGTTCTGAATTCAACACTGGTGGTGTGCCTTGTA